TGATGAAACAGGTTTAGGGAAGGAAAGAGACCTGCTTGAGGTTACCCACATGGTAACTGGCCAAGCTATGACAGACCCAAGGTCCCTAGGCTTCAGGGGCCAGAGAGCTTTGAAGTGCTCCGTGCTGGCCAAGGACCTGTCTCTCTTCCTTCCCGCCTTGTGAGGGTGACAGAAAGACCACAGGAAGTGCAGCGATTCCAAGGGTGGAGAAGGATGTTACAGCCTTTGCAGAGAGGACTTTGCAGCTCTCATTATTCTCTCTCTGGGAGTTAGTAGGTCATTTGCAAAAGGCATGGGAAGAGCAGCTGATGAAAAGGTCTAATAGTTTGGAAAACTGCTTAACTTTATTGCTCTATTTCTGGATTTCCCCCCATCGCTAAGGACTGTTAAGGTCCTGATTTCCCCGGGAGGTTTCCCATTTAGGAATGCAGTGAAACCTCTGAAATCCACAGGAATTGGGGAGAAGGCCAGCTGAATTAGGGACTAGTCTAAATACTTTTTAAGGACATGCAGGTCTATTGTTTACAGGGACTTAAGACCATAAATGTAAAGAAGCCTAGTCCAGCCTTCGGCTCAATGCAGGAGCCTTTATGTTTTATTCCACACAAAGCTTCCTCTCTTCTTCTTTTGTATGCTTCTGAGGACAGGAGGCTCACTATTCTGAGGAATGACCTATTCTACTCTTAGAAAAGTCTTCTTTCACCTGAACTAGAATCTGCTTGCCTCTAGTGTTCATATAGAACTTTTCCCCAGAGGGTCTTTGAATACTTGGAAGTAGTTCATACCGAATAGTTCTTCACTTCTTCCTTGTCTGCAGCTAAGCACTCTCAGCACATTCGACCATTATTTATATGACTAATATCACCAACTCTAATAAGAGATATACATGGCTATTTCTAATTGGCCTCTAAGTGGACAACTGTACACATTCAGAGCTCAGCAGAGCTAGATATCACGTGCACTGTCTTCATTGATTTTAAAGATGAGCAAACTGAAACCACTGATAAAGATGACATCACTCAATTTCAGAGAGAAATTGAAAGAGAACAAGAGTGACAGACAGACAGAGACCAAGCTGAGAACTGAGTCCCAGCTGGACAAACTGCAATCCAGGCCTCCTTTTCACCACCCCTGGCCTTCTGTTATTCATGAGACAATTTCTCAAGTTCTTCAAAGTGCCTGAGAAGTTTGTTCTCTGAAGCATTTCAAAAATTCCTCCTTCAAATTATATTTGCGCTGTCGGTGAAGTTGAGATTAGCACAGAGCCGAATGTAATAGAGGTTACACTGTCAATGAGAAATATCATTCCAAGTTTATTAACCCTCCTTGCTCTCTGCTGTGACAAAATGATCTTCCTGGCTCCAGAATGCTATCCCAAAATGGATACACAGCCATAGGGCCACCCAGGCCTGCCAAATTTACCATAAAGCCCAACTACCTGCTCAATTTAGGAAGTCCCAGCTTTGGAACTGAGGACGAGTTTGCCAGGACATGAAACAGTCTGTGTTTCTGCTTTCGTCTACTCTGTTCATTTCAGAGTTTCATATCCTCTTTCCAGTTTGGTCTGATTCTCTGATGAAAAGACAAAGACTCAGAAAAGCGAACTTCGGCACTTCAGTGATTGGTTTCCTGTCCCCAGCAACCCTGCAGTCACATGCTTGGAGGAGAACATTCCTCCCTGCCCCAACACACAGCAGTCACCCTCTTCTCTCAACAAGGTATTACATTTCCAGTTCTTACACTTGTGCTGGCACAGATTACAAACTGCCCTGTGCTGCTTCCTGGTTTGCAGAGTTCTGGGTCCCATGGAAGCTAGAATTGTACCAGCCTATGTTCTAGTCCTGACCCTGCAACAAGCTGGTTATGTGGCTGTGGAAAGTTACTTAACCTTTGGGAACTTTGGTCCCCTCATTTGCTAGATGAGGGACAAGAAAGCTATCTTCGCCATAAGGTTGTGAAGATGGCAAACTGCCTGACAGGTGCCTAATGCAGTCTATAGCACTTAGTATGGTTACATAAATGTTTACATACATAAATATGTTTAGTATTCTTAATATTATGCTACAGTAGGTGAAGACTTAAACCTGTACTTTTCCTATGCTGCACACAGCAGGTGCTCCATAATATTCCTTGATTCTGGTCTTGGCTCCATTAGACAGTAGCTTCACCATGAGAAACACTGTTAAGAGTCATGTTGGTGCAGTTCCTATTTCCAAATTCCCCTTTCTCTGTATTCCTTCTCCCAGAACTTAGCTCAGCGGGCAGCCCACCTGTCTCCCCACTGTTCACACCTGTCAGTTTGTAGCTCAGGGTACCGTTCTCCTTTGACAGACTCTCAGAACTTGCTGTCCAGGCAAAGAAAACTTTATAACGATGATCCAACACAAACCATATGTAACCGGCATGTCAGCAAACAGAAGGACAAAGGGACACTGACAAAAGACTACCCAACCCACAAAACAAAGCAACAGAAATCAAGGGACTGAGATAGACCCAGAGTGCACTTGTTTGTCCAGACTCTTAAAGCTGATCAGAGTTCTTAAAGTATTCCTCCTGAGATTCGATTTTGGCTAAGCTCTCCCCTTAGCTGGGAATCTGAATTAACATTAATAACTGAATTTTTTAAAAAAGTAATTATTTGTCCTATTTAACTTTATTTATTTTCTTTTTAATTTGATGAGAGAGAAAGAGAAAGTGAGAAAGCAAGCTGCAACAACTGGGACTCAAACCTCAGTTGGCCATGTGGGAATCCAGCAGCCTCAACCACCATACTACCTGCTGGCGCTAATCACTGAATTTTAATGGAAATAAAGTTAAGTGCTCCTTTAGCCAAAAGAGTACATATGCAACATTCACATTGTTTAGTAATAGTACTTATTGTCCGTGGGACTTACAAATGATGACAGAAAAATTTCTATTTTTTGAAAAAAAAAAAAACTATGGGAAGTTCCTACCTGGAGTTGTTTAAAATTCCTGTCAGGTTGCAAGAGTTAATCTCCCAGCTTCCCTAGGTGCAGAGGTAAACCTAGTGGATTCTGGCTGAATAAAATGAGCAATTCTTTCTCTTTTCTTATTGCAGATTATTTGTTTACTCTCTGAATTTTGTGCGAAGGATCCAAAAACTAAAATAAAATGAAATTAAATAAAATAAAAACATCAGCTGAAACAAACTGGTTATTTTACGAACCCAGCAAAAGCTTCTACAACTGAGAGCGAAGGTGGAATTCAGTGCCAATGTGATGGAGTGAATACAAGAGGTCCTGAAGTGTGGTCAGGGTCCCTGCTCTGCCCCACTCTGGCATCCTTGGCAGCTTACCTTGGGCAGGTGATTATCCCTCACTGACTTCTGGTCTCTTCTTATGGGTTCCTCCAAGGCTGAGATCCCAGGAGGCTACTAGGAGTGTGAAGATTAGCTAGGAAAGCAGCCCGAATCTCTGGATGTGGAACCCAGAGTAGTAGCAAGAGACTGTGAATATAGGTAGGAAAAGCTTTGGAGAAAAAGCGAAAACACTGAACAGTACACACTTTCCAATTTGCCATGGCATGTTCCAAAACACAAGCATCTAACATTCTCCTGGGAGCTCAGGGCTCACCCAGATGTCTTGTCTTCAATCTGACAGGAAGCAGAGAAGGCCAGTGCTTTTCTGGTTGGAGACCTTGGCTAGGAAGCAGGGGAAGAGAGAAGTAGAGTCAGCTTCATGAGAGCGTGGAATGGCAGTGAACCCTGCAGGCTTATCCTCTCCAGCCTGGAGTTGCCAAGGAGGATGATCCACTCCATCAAACCTGGGCCAAGCTCTGGCTCAGACACACAGGCAAAAATAGAAAGGGGCTGGGAGAAGAAATGTGTTTACTTTTGTGATTTCCCCTGCTGTGCCTCTTAACCGTATTATAATCTCTACACAAACAGTCAGTAACAGTCCACAGGCCTCACCTCCACGGATAAACCCTCTCAAACAATTCATGTACAGATCTCAAGTCTGCGTAACACCTCATGGTCACCATCTGGGCAGCTGGAAGCAACATTTAGAAGGTAGCAGGAAGAGGGGAAAGAGCACTGGCCTAAGGTCTATCACCAAGTGGGTGACAAGACTACCAAAAATCTCTCTCTGAGTCGCTATAAAATATAGGCTCCTATGAGACATAATCGAAAATCTCTTTAGATTATTAAAGATTATGTCAAGAGCTTTCAACCAGAGGCTGTTTCCCCCTCAGGGGATATTTGATTATCTGGAGACATTTTTGATTGTTCTACATTGGGGGCTGCCACTGACATCTAATGGTCAGGACTAGAACTAAACATCCCATAATACAACCCCGACCATCCCATAATGCAGCTCCAATATATTAGTAATGCCAAGATTGAGCAATCAGGGTTTTATAGAAAGCAATGAGAATCAACAAAATTGGAAAAAGAGACAGAAGAGAAGAGGTTAAAACCCTGTTTCCAGGTCATGAGGGATTCATTAGTTGTGTGTTTTCCAGCTTTTCTCCCTATGACCAATGCTCTTTTATTTTCCCCTGGAATTATGAGGCTATGTTTGAGCAGTTTGTTCACAAGAACGTCCTCCTTACTCTTAAAATGTCAAGCCCTGAATCTGTACAAAGAGCTCCGCTGTAAGACATGGCAAAGGCAGACATATAAGCAGTTATTAAACACGTAGAACTTGAAGGGAGGTGGTGGAGGTGCATGGAGGGACAAAATATATGCCCATAACTCCATGGCTATGAGTCAGTGTTTCAGAGGTAACAACAGAGAATAATAACCATAGGACGAACTGAGCTAGGCTGAGAGCAGGCAGAATAGAAAAGCGTTAGAGATACAAGTTTGCCACTGCAGGATTCAAAGGGAAAGCAAAAGGTTAAGCAATCAGTGTCTGTCATTTTTGAATCATTCTGCATTAACTCATTGGGCAGTTATTACAAATAGTTACCTGCGGTTTCCAGAGAAGAAGGCAAAGATACTCCAGTCAAGGGGTTTTGGAGAAACAGGTGCAATGAAGTCATGGTCAAACAATTTATTTACTGTAAACTTTAGACTTTGCTCAGGAAAACAACTGAAGCTGCCCCTCAAATCCCTGCCTACAAATACCCCATTTGAACAAATAAGAGGAGCAGGGGTGGGGGGGGGGAAGAGTCCATGTTCACAGCTGAAAGGTCCAAGAGACTTAATATTCTCAAGTCCGAGGGTGCAGGAAGGAAAAATCTCCTTCAGATACAAATTACCAGCAGCAATATATTACTCCTAATACTTGACCAATGAGGTAGATACATGGAAAAATTCATCAAAACATAGCAGTCTTGGGTCCTCTAGGACTGAAGCCCTTCAGACATCAACTTACAAGTTCCAGGCAAAGAGGAACTGAACTGTACATGACACAAATATATCATTAAAATACATCTTCTCTTTTATACAGTTTAAAAAAATAAAAAAAAGCAGAAGGATGTTCCTCCTCCTGTATATCTCTATACATTTTATTTTAAATTTATTACACTCAAGTTAAATAGTCTGTTTAGTGTTCTGCTTGGGTGGGGGTTCTTAAAAAGTAGAAAAACTGCATTACAGCAGTGAGTCATGAGTCCTACAGTTCCTCCCTTGTGAATCAATGCAATCGTTAGGCACAGTACCTTGACAGTTCACAAAGTCTCCCCTGCCTGGGAGGTCCTCACACAGCAGTTCACTTTCTTTCTCTTGCCCCACATGATATCCACTCTGTTCCCCTGCGTAGTCACTTTTGCCATTGCTGTTGTTGGAGTAGCCATTCCCATAGGCCTTCAGAGAAGACCCTCGCAAGCACAGAAGCTCCTGAAAGGCAATCCTGAAATCTGGGCTCCGGCAATAAATAAGGGGATTGAAAGCCGAATTGACATAGCCTATCCAGTTTAGGAGGATGTAAACTTCCTTAGGGATGAGGTTAGCCCGGATCACGTGCACGATGTTGACAATGAAGAAAGGCAGCCAGCAGAGGGTGAAGGTGCCCATGATGATGCCTAAGGTCTTGAGGGCTTTGTGTTCCTTCAAGTAGAACTTAGACGACCTGCGAAGTCCATGCCCACTCCGCCCATCCTGCTCCACCTGGCTGAGGTTTTGGGCATGGAAGCGGCCCTCGGATTTGTCAATCTTCTGAAGCTGTCTTTTGGCCACTTGGAAGACCCTGGAATAGACAAAGACCATGACCACCAGAGGCAGATAGAAAGACACAATGGAGGAGGCGATGGCGTAGGCTTGGTTCGTGAAGAAGTCACAGCAGGTCTCCTTAGCATAGCAGTTCATGGCTTCCTGGTGGCTGGCCCGGTACCAGTGCATTTGGATGGGCAAGAAAGAGGTGAGGCCTGACACGATCCACACCATCAAAATGACCACCCGGGCTTTATTCTTGGTCAGGAGGCTCTGGTACTTGAAGGGTGACGTGATGGCAAAGTAGCGATCCACTGCAATCACACAAAGAGTCTCAATGCTGGCCGTGACGCACAACACATCAATGGAAGTCCAAAACTCGCACCAAAAGTTACCAAAAGTCCACATTTTCATGAGAATATGGCAAGCTCCAAAGGGCACCACCGCCAGGCCCATGACCAGGTCAGCACAGGCCAATGAAGTGATGAAGTAGTTGGTAACCGTCTGCAGACGCTCGAACTTGGCAATGGCTGTGATGACCAACACGTTGCCAAACACGATGGCCAGGACGATGAGCGACATCACGATGCCCATGCCCACGACCCACGCCTCGTCCCGTTCCTGCGCAACGTCGCTGTTGGATGCGTGGCTTCCGTTGGGCGCCAGCAGGAGGCTGCTGTTCCAGGCTTGCCCCATGGCGCGCAGGCTGGCAGGTGAGCGCACCGGCTGCCGGCGCTCTTTCCTCCGTCGGGCCCCGGCGGTCCCGCTGCGGACGCCTGGAAGCCTCATTCAGCCGCCGTGCCGTAGGTGTGGTGGGGGCGCGTCCTGCACGCTCAGCCTGAGGGGTGCTCTGGGCTCGCCGGGCCGGCAGCTGAACCTGCGTTCTGGAGAAGCTGCCTCGGGAGTGCGCTCTGCCCGTTATGTGCACAGGACTTTAGGGAACTACCCTCCGGGTGACGTGCGGGAACTTTCCGCCAATGGGGCGCCAGCAGTACTGAAGGGGTGAGCCCTCCTCCCCTTTCCTCTCCTCCCCTCGGCTCCTTTGGCCCGCCTGGTTCTGGGGCTGGTCCGGGCGGGGCTCAACTGCTTCCCAGCGGGCGGGTCCCCACCACTCCCTCCCGGCTACCCCGGCAGGCCCCAGAGGACTGAAGCTGGGCGGGCGTGCTTACCAGTCAGCCCCGGAGCTTTTGGCTCTTGCGTGGCTCTTACCTGTCTGTCCTCGGCGCCTGTGCAGCCTAAGGTCTCCGGGCACGGAGAAGCACATCGCAGCTCCCTCATTCGAGAACGAGAATGCCCACCGAGACACGCACATGCAGGCACAAATGCACCCCGACAGACATGCCTGGACTTCTACGGAGCCACAGTCACAGACACCGAGACACGCCCGCCCAGAGCTCTGACATGCACGCCGCCGCCGCGCGCGCGCGCATACACAGAAGCTGGTAGGCACAAAGTCACTCCCTTCCAACACCGAGACGCCACCAGAAACGAGCCCAGAAGCTCCCAGGAGCACATAGGCAACAGCGCACACAGACAAAGAAGTAAACACACACGAACGCTCGCTTGGAGGCATGCAGAGCGACACAGACACGATGTTCCCATCTAGAACGCTCAACCCCCCTTCACCCATGCACTCACGAATGACCCCCAGCCCCAACACACACCCACACACACCCCCGCGCGCAAACACCCACTATATTCCCTTTCAAACATTTGGCAAGACCACAGGAGGTGACTTCAACAGCTGCCAATTTCCTAAGCATTCTCTGTCAAGTACTTTGGGTGCCCTCCTTGGGAATTTGCAGGCATTGAGACAGATTATTTCACCCTCTGGATTTTATTGGGAACTGAGGTATGTCCCTACACCTGTATTTTAGGAAGAGGAAAAAGTGTTGCACGGGTTTGTTTTTAATTCTTAGGAGTGTGGCACCACGTCTTTGCTGTCTGTTGGAGTAGAAGTGCATTGAAAATGGGATAATCTTTCTTTCAAACATAATTCTTTAGTAACCCCATTGCAACTACAAAACCAAAAAAATCCTTTAATCTACTGGATAGCTATTTAACATTTGCTGGGTTGAGCTGTATGAAATTGCTGCCACTTGGCCCCCTCAGACTCACAAAACTGACCGTTTTTGTATGGTTCACATGACTAAGAATGTGTTAAAATGAAGCACTTTGGGGGCAAGCCTGTGATCTGGTGGGTAGGGTGACTGGATTTCACAGAAACTACTACACAGTTGAAGTCCTGGACCTGGGGGCTTGAAAAAGGCTCCAAGCATTTGTGCATGCAGGCCCAAAATCCTGAAAGAAGGAAGAGATGAGAAGGGGTTGCAGCGTGACCAAACCTCATGGCAGAGCCTGAGGTGGGGGTTGCTTTTTTGCTTTCCCACTAGCTCTTTCTTTTTGGCACAATGCTTTCTGTTAAATTAAAAAAATTTTATTTTTAACCACAAAAAGCAAAAGATAATTTTTTTTTTTTTTAAAATTCAGACCAAGCCTAAACGAAGGTCTTTGCCTGTGAAATAGTATCCTTTGCATCTAGCATATAACTTTGCTGTTAAAAAGAAATTAATTTTCCAGGTTTGATTTCACATGTATTAGTAGGGGCTTTCAAAAACTGAAAGTATTTCATGTACTGTAACCAAACATGCTTTGTAGATTACATAATAGCATAACAATGGATAACATTTATAAAACATTCTGCTATGTACTTTTCATGCATTACTCTGTTTAATCCTTCCCACAGTCCCATGGGTGGGGGGTAACTATTTTTAGCTTAATTCACAAATGGGGCACAAAGAGGAAAATAGCTTTCCTGGGGATAATGGCTAGGCAATGCCAGAAGTTAGATTTGAATCCAGGCCTACTTGCCTCTAAGACCCGTTTTAGAATATGTCAATGTACTGCATCGGTACTTGCAGAAAGGAGTAGAGGAGAGAAAAGAAGCACTCCAAATGAAATGGGAAAACCCAGTTCTAGAGTCACCTGTTTTGGAACCTTCTAGTTCACTTTCCTTAGGCAAATCACAAAGAAGGAGCCTCATTTCCTTCACCTGTGAAGGGAGAATAAAGTTACTTTTATTGGAATGGGTGTGAATCCAATAATAGAATAATAAGTGTGAAAATGCTTTTGCACATGTGAACATCACACAAATACGGGTTGGAAGTGAAGTTTACAAACTTAGTAGTGTAGAATATATTGTTGTTCTTTTCTTCCAGAACAATAACCTATGTTAGGATAAAAGTATGTTGGGTGTTCACCCCAGAAGTAAAGATCAAAAAGAAAATTTAATTTACATGTCCCTTTAACTTCCTTCGGTAGCAGAAACTGTCCGTTTGCAAGTCAGGTGCCTTAAAAAACAAATGTTTCTCATAGAAGCCACGAATATTAATTAAGGATTGACTTCGTTCACATAGTTTTCAAAATATACCCACCACATATTTGTGTTTTCCAAAATTGGCTCTGCTATGATGCATTTTAGGAAGAGACAGTATCCGTTATGCAATGATGCTTCTTTAAATACACATCTCCCCCAAATTGTGGAACTAAGCCATTTAAAACCTCCTTCCTGTTTGTGAAGTTATGGAATAAATAAACATATTGTTTAACCTTCTCATCATGACCAAAAAAAAGAACAAAGAAAACCTTTTAGAATAAACGTTAATTGATCATTTAGATACCTGTGTAAGTCACTTAAAAGTTTAGCTGAATATTTTGGGAAGTACCATTTTTAAAACCCACAAACACTAAATCAAGAAGGGAAACTGCTTATGTCACCATGAAGTTTGGGGCCTTTTGCTCACTAGCCTTGACAAATGGGCAATCTCTCCGTCTGCTGGATCACTATGCTGGTAGGAATTTTAAGGTGTTTTCTCAAGAAGAGTTTTTTTTCCCCCTTGACCTCTTTTTTAGGACTATAGGATTAGAGAAAGTTAGAATAGGAAGTGTTTACTAGATCATTTCGTTTATTCTATATCCCCCTCCCTGCCCAATCTAGTTCGCCAATAGAAGTGACAATACGGAAGTGTTCAGCCTGGGTGGTAGGGAAAAGGAGAATCCAGGCCTGCCTCCTGGCTTCATATGTCATTACCCAACCCTCTTGCTTCTTTCCAGCAGGAGGGTCTGGCTTCCCTGCTGACTTATGCTGTGGTCTTAGAGAGTTAATGCTGTCTGTTGAACCAGAATGTTCTCAGAGACTAAATGCACCTTTGTGATGTAGGAAAAAGCAGGCTCTTTTATGGTGATTGACAGTGTCTAATTACATATTTTGTCAATCTCTTAAGACACTGATTTGTTGTTTCCTGCCTGCCAAACAGGAACAAAACAAAACAAAACACACATTTTGATTTATGTAACAAATGTTAGAATAGGAGTAAGGCTCTGAGGTGCCAGAGAATGCCCTTACATTAGTAGCTGGATGGCTTAGGAAAATCTTATCCCGGGTCTTGGCTTAGACAGCAGTCCTTTTATCTTTCTGATCCTTTAACAGAGAAACATCTGTAGTTTCTTTCTAAGTGATGACTTAAAATGTCTTTAATAATATCTCTGTATAGCATTAGCTCATTAAATTTACATTACGCAAGATTAAATGCATGTAAAGTGTTGCCTTAGAGAACAGTAGGGATTACTGTTACCGTATTATTTTTTAATCAAAATGTATATAGAGAATGCATATTTTTCTTATCAGATCATGTGTGTGACCAGGTCCTTTGAACATGAATAATGAGTAATTTATTTTTTAATTTGAATTGCTGTGAAAAATAATTGAAAGAAAGAAAAAAAAATCTTGGTTTTTTAGAAAGAAGAATGATTTTGAAAATTACCATTATTACGAGTTATATATCAATAGCTAGATCAGCTGTCAGTGGTTTTGGATGAAGCATCTCCCAATCTGGTTAGGACCTTACACAGTTCATCCACCAAAACTCTGAGAGCCATCGCCAGAGAGGTAAGCCCACCAACCCCTTCTGTAGGTACATATTTCTCTGTATTGAATTGAAACATTCAACTGAAATCCTTATTAGAACTTTTACTAATGGTTCTTAAGTCTGCCCCCTTGAGGCCGCTCAAAACAAATCTCCTCTCACTTCTCTTAAGCTGTTCTTTCGCTTTTGAGAGACTTCTCAACAGTTCTCCTGAGCCTTCTCCTCTTTGGTTAAATATGCCTTCTTCCTATGAGTCTACAGTTGCCTTTACTATCATGGAGGTCTCTCCTATTTATGCTTGGGTTTGCCAGTGTCTAAACGTAACATCCATCAGTACCTGGAAAGTTCCTAGAAGCAGTTATCAGTCAATTTGCAATCACCTTGGCAACCATAAAGTAAAGCAGAGCAACCAGCAAAGCTTTCTGAACAGCCGATTACACCAGATGAATTTAATTTCCTGCTATGCTAGCGTTTTATGAGAGACATGCTAATAAATTCTCCACAACTTAGAGGTGTCGGATGAAGGGAGATGATGTTCCGTTAAAGCAGGGGAGACTTCAATTGGCCTGACAAGGATCAGTCATTCAAAGCTCTAGTAGCTTTCTCAACTGGGATTTTTAAAGAGAATTAAATCATTTTTTTTTCAATGAAAAAGTTTGTTTTTAATAAGATCAATGAAATTTATAAACTTTTTTTCTTCCTTTCTGTTATTTTCTTATTTTTCACACTCAATCACTATACATCTTTACAGCATACAAAATGAATTTTCCCAGCATGAATACACTGTATATTAGCCCAGTCTCAGAAAGTTGTCTGAATGACTATTCTTTCCAGTTGTCACAAGGATAGCTATTATCCTCTAAGGGATCAAAGAGAGGATTTAAATGGTTACATACAATGGAATGGGTGGTTTAGGGCACAGTGCTTAATTCTCTTGCTGAATTGGAGAGGGATTGCTTAGAGCCTCCTTCGGGTTTGGAAATAAACAGCGTGTGATGATGTATG